GCCATTTCCGCCTGGAGCGGCCCCGCCCTCCGCCGCCAGTCCTCCGAGCGTCGTGAGCACGGGCCTCCCTGGGCTGCTTCGGGGGGGTACTTAGGGGGCCGGGGCGGGCCTGATGAGTAACCGCCCCCGCGTCCCAGAGGGAGAAGCCTTTACATCAGTCGGTCGGGTACATTATATTAAGTTTCTAGATCATTATTTGAACTTGTACGTGACTTTTTTTTTTTTAATCCTCACCATTGCTTTTTGAAGAGAGACATCGATGGGAGAGAGACGCGTTGGCTGGCTGCCTCCCGCACGCCCCCGGCTGGGGCGGGTCGAGCCTGCAGCCCGGGACGTGCCCCTGGCCGGAACTGAACCTGGGCCGTCGGCCTGTGTGCTGACGCGCTAACCACTGTGCGACTGGCTAGGGATCGCCATGACTTTAAAATTAAAATTTCTGTTGATAAAAGTTCCCCCCATCAGTCCCTATTTGTCTTTTTTTAAGTCCTTTATTTAAAATTTACCTGGGCTGATGAGCTGCAAAGGAATAATTTGTCCTCTCGATTTTACATTAAAAGTTAAATCTGTGACCCCAGCCCCCTTAAAAATTTTTTGAACCTATCAACTGGTACGGGGCGAGGGCGAGAAGAGGCCTGGTCTCTTGCGGAGGACGGAGAGAGGAACTGCAGGGCGGGCGGGGCCGGGGCCGAGCCTGACCGAAGCCTTTGCTCCCTCCGCAGCCCCGGCTCCATGGCCTCGGCTTCCCGCCGCCGCCGCCGGGAGCGCCGCTTCCGTCGGTACTTGTCCGCGGGTCGCCTGGCCCGGGCGCAGGCCCTCCTCCAGCGACACCCAGGCCTTGATATAGATGCTGGGCAGCCCCCCCCACTGCACCGGGCCTGTGCCCGCCACGATGCCCCCGCCCTGTGCCTGCTTCTGCGGCTGGGGGCTGACCCTGCCCACCAGGACCGCCGTGGAAACACTGCCCTGCACGCTGCCGCTCGCCAGGGCCCTGATGGTGAGTCCACCTGTGGGGAGCAAGGTCGTGAGCAACTTACTGGGTCTGAGATGAAGGCCAGTGTCAAAATAATCTACTTATCTGGTCATGGGACTTGACCAAGTTGGCATGTGGCTATCATGTGTGCCATTACGGTTCTGAACTACTGTTGTCTAAAGAGCCCAACCCTCCTCAAACAGTAACTGCTCTTCAAATTTAACATCTTTCTAGATTAGTAGCTACCTAGTCTCTTGATTGGCTCTTTGCCTATAGCGCAAAAAGTGGCATAGAGGGTAGGCTTTAGAGTTAGATTGCCTGAGTTCAAATGCCAGCTCCACACTTAATAGCTGGGATTTCTTGGGCAAGTTACCAAACTTCCCTGAGGCTTAGTTTACCCATGCACAAAATTAAATAATAACAACCCTTGCTATGTGCTAGGCACTTCTCACAAAATAACTCATTTAATCCTCACAACCCTATGAGGTTATAAGTACTAATATTATCCCTGCTTCCCAGGTGAGGATACAGCACAGAGAAGTTAAGTAATTTGCCAAAATGGTAGAGCAGCGATTGTAAGGCAGGCAGACCCACAGGGTATTGTCCTGTGTGATAAGTTACACAATTGTTATATAATTATACAGTGGTAGTGCCTATGCTCAGAGCCCCCATGCTGGGGTAAGTGTTTTAAGAATCAACTGGAACAGTATACATGATAAGCACTCAGTAGATACTGGCCATTGTTCTATTGTTATCAACAGATCCATACTTCCTTATCCATGATTCTGAAACAAAAGCACTCTCAGAGCCAAACATTTTTTATTAGCCTGTCACCAAATGAGTTTGGTGGCAAAACCTAACCTGACTAAAGTGAGTCTGCAATTTTTTATCATACTGATGTCAATATTCAAAAACATTCATGTGTCTGGTGCCCGAGGCTTCCCAGGCCCTCCTGGGCTACCTAATACACAGTGTGTGTACTTTCAGATCAGCTCTATCAAATCCCAGAACATGGAGATCTGAAAAACCTTTGATACTGAAGTTTCCCATAGGCCCTGTTGATACCGTAGTGGCAGTGGAGGCTGCTCTGTAGAGGTATAGCCCTCCTCAGGAAAATGAAAGGTGAAACCCTCTCTCCCCTTCTGGGAAGAACAGCCTTCATTCAGTTTGATTGCTTCCCCAGCTCTCCAGGCATAGGAACCTATCCCCAGCCCCAAACCTCCCCCTAGTAGTAAAAAAAATCCCCTTTTCTTTAATTCCCCTTAACATAAGTGAGATCTGCTGGCACACTGGGATTTTTTAAACTTAAAAACAAAGAGAGGAGGTTTACAAAGTGCAGGTGTCTAACCAAACAACTGACATTGTAGGTGGCAAGAGCCGAGTACCCTGAGGCAGGCCTGAGACCTCATCCAGGTTCCCGCTCCACCGCTAGCTAGGGTCATGGGCTGAATGACCGGAACTAGCAGTTCACCCTCTGAGAACCTGATTTGCCTCTGAAATGCAGGTTGTGAGAGAAAGAGGCAGTTGGTGCAGTTTGGCAATAGATGATTAGTAGTGTTATTTGAATTCTGCTATTATTTAATTAAGGCTATTTGAATAATAAAAATATTCCTCATACTATGGTAAGGGTCCATAGACAAGTTACCAAAAGTCCGGCATTTTATTGATTCCCAAGAAGCCTGCAAGATTGATATTATTATGTCACAGGTGAGGAAAGCAGGGACCAGAAGGTTCAGGAACTTTCTTCCAAAGGGGGATCCTCATTCAGGTCACCCCCAAGTCCTGTCACCCTCTTCGGCCTTACTTCCTTCTGGTCCCTGCCAGCCCTGCCACCAGGGGGCCTAACTCCTAGGTAGAAAGGTACATCTGGTTTGTTTCCAGCCGCTTTAGAAACCACTGTGCTTTAAACGCAAATATTTTCTTTGAACAGATAAAATGATCTAGGATTCCCTGAGGAGGGGCATTCCCCTCAGCTCCTATGTCAGGCCAACCAACCCAGGGGATTTGCGTGTTCTGCTGGGTTAGCTGGGCTGAGTTGTCACACTGAGTGAAATGTTGGCAAATGGCCCCTACCTTGGACTTTTGGTAACTTCTCTATGGACCCATCACCTCTTGGGGAAGTTGTCTCAGCTGTCAGAGACCCCTGTATAAACACACCTTAGTCATACAATAACCATTCTTTGCCTACATGAAGGATTAGCAAACACGAAGAAACGGTCATTTTCTCACAGTCTTTACAAAAAGAATAAAATTCAAAGCCAACCTGATATATTTTTTTTAATCTGACATTCACTGCATTTCTGCTATATGCCAGCACAGCACCTGACATTCACCATCCATTATCCACTTGATCTACACAGCAGAAGTAGGCTTTGGCCCTGTTTACAGGGGCTGAGCCATCTGGTCTATGTTCCATTTGCCTTTCCAGCCTTGCCTCCCACAGCACACCCACAAAGCTGCAACTCCACTGCATGGCTCTGTCTTCAGTGCCCCCCAGCATGTTTTTCACAAGCCTGCATGCCTCTTGCCTATTGCTTTCTCATCTGTCTAATTTATACTTTGCTAAATTGTTCTGCCTTCCCAGCCCAACATAGCCACCTCCTCCTGGAAGCCCCCTTTGATCACCCTGCCCACTATTACCTTTTCTTTCTTTGCTCCTGCCTCAGTCAGTTGTCCTCTATAAGCTGTTGATATTGGTGTTTTTTGAGTGAGGTGTACCAGTTAATGCAAACTTAACTTTACAGTAGAAATCGTCTCATGTGAGGAGGAGAAAAGCAGTGCTTTTGTCACTAAGACAAAGTGCATTTTTACTCCATAAAACTTCTCACGTTTATTTTTCCCAATAGAAAAGTACACTGGGAAAAGTTGATCTATGCTGCTAAATTGGTTGTAAGGTTGGCATTCCAAGTCACTGGAAGAAGGTGAGCTATTCAATAAATGATATACGAACATTTGCTTCACCCAGGGGGAGAGCAGAGTCCTCCCTCACACCCGACTTAAAGCAACTTACAGCAGACTAAACACCTAAATATGACAGGAGGGGTACACCAGGTTCATGGAAGGGGTTCCCTAGGGGAATAAAACTTAGAAGGCAACTTTATCTGTGATGGTTTTATTTCTTTAAAATAAAATAATGTAGCAAACATGAGAGCATCTGGCATACCCTGCGATGGGATTGGAAGTGCCTGTTGTACTGTACTTTGTACTTTCTTTGAATTTTTTAGGTCTCTAAAAATAAAAGTAAATATAGTAGAAAAACACAAGGGAATAGTTTTGCAACCTTGGAGTGGAGAAAACCTACCTAAGATTGAAATAAAGTAAAAAGCTATTGATACAGATTTAGTTACGTAAGACTTTTAAAATGGGAGAAAGTATCTATAGTATATGTAACAGATACACAGGCTCGGTACCTGTACTAGATAAAGAGCTGTTCTATCTGCACTATCATTTCCAAGGGAAAAGTAGATGAATATGAACAAGTCATTCACTACAGAAACACAGAGAGCCAAAAAGCATATGAAAAAGAAGAAAATTTCATAATTAAAATAACTTTTTAATCTGTCAGATGGGCCAAATTAAAAGATTGATGAGACTCAATTTTGGTAAAGGACATAGGTGCGCATATTTTCTTGGTAGGGATGTGTGTTCGTACAAACGAGCGCAGTTTGACAAAATCTCATATATTCTTTGACTCAGAAATTCCACTTCTGAGAAACGTCCCTATAGAAATACCACAGGAGTGCACAGAGACATATGTACAAGGCCAAACAGTTTGGAAACAAAGTCTGTTGCCTAAGGGGGTGGGATTTGTCTCATGCACAGTGGAACACTATGCGGTCATAAAAAAGGAGGTCAACCACATTTACTCCTGTGGAAAAATATAAATAAGATGTTAAGTGAAAAGAGCAAGTTGCCAAATAATACATTTAGTACAGTCACATATCTCTGAAAAAAACTGTCAGATGTATGCATTTATATCACCCAGGCAGGATTGGCAGGGACCACAGCAAGCTGAAGGGTGATTCAATTTATTCGTCACTCTCTAAGGGGAAAGGGAATTTTCACATTAGTTACATCCTGTTCACATTAAAGTCTCAACTAAGGAGTGGAGAAGCCACCCACAGCCCTATCACCCAGAGACTAGAACCTTACATATTTCCACTCTGTTTTTCTTTTTTTTCTTTTTTAAATCCTCACCCGAGGGTATTTTTTCCATTGCTTTTCAAATAGAGTGGAAGGGAGAGAGAGAGAGAAACATCAATTGGTGCCCTCCTGCACATGCCCTAACCGGGGCTGGGGATCAAGCCCGCAACTGAGGTCCATGCCCTTGGCCCAAATCAAACCCAAGACCCTTCAGTCCGCAGGCTAATGCTCTAACCACTGAGAAAACTGGCCAGGGCACCACACTGTTTTTGGTCTCTTTTTTTTACACAGTTACAGCCAGATCCCAGGTAGTTTTGTAGCCAGCTTTTTCCATACACAAACATCATTTTTAGTTACTATTTAATAATCCTGTATCATATTTTACTAATGTTTTATAGTTGGAAGCCTTACTCCTTAAAACCCATGAACTTAAAAACTTCTTGTGCAAGCCTGAGCACCCACCCACCCTCACACCTGCCATGAACCCTGGTCAGGAGTAAGCAGGTGAAAGGCAGGACCAGTTACTTGCTGGGTGGGACAGGTTGGGAGGGTTTGTGACAGGTCACGTCAATATACTAAAGAGAAGTGCCCCCTCCCTGCATCCTGATGTGGTTTGGGTTGGGTGGCACGCAAATGTGCCAGGAAATGTGTGGGGGCAGTGGGCCTGGGCCAGCCGCAGCTAGACCCATTCCTTCTTCCTGCCTTCTTGGCAGTGGCAAAACCACCCTTCTCCTGTCCATCCTTTGCCTCCTGTCCCATTCTTTGCCTAGATAGCCAGTACCTTCTAGTGCCACAGAGTAAAGACTGAAGGACCACCAGCTGATTTCCTCCTGCCCTAGAGAGAGAAAGGTACACAGGAAGAATGTGCCTCATCACCTTCCTTGGTTCCAAGAGTGAAAAGTGCTTGGTGGCCTTGGAGGGCCTGGGTTGGCAGTGAAGTGAGCAGCACAGCCTCAGCCACACACCACACTGGGGCCGATGCATGAGGTTAGGACACAGGCAGGGGAGCTCAGGAATGGCAGCCCTTCTGTGTTCCCCAGGCCTCTTGTCAGCCAGCCCCTGGGTGGGACCCTCTCAGTCATTTGGAAAGAGCTTGCCAGGCTGCTGGGGACATTTCTGTGGCTCAAACTCACTGCTGATCTGGCCCCTCTACCTCCCACCCCCTCCCAGTATGCCCTGGGGAAGGCTGGCTGAGGGAAATTCCCTGAAAAACATTTATTTTATGCAATGTATTGAAAAGTGATATAAAAAGATACGTATTATATATTTGTACATTTATAATGGTAGAGTAGAATGTTCAGATATTTTACCAGCCTGAAGTATAATGTCGGGTGAGAAACACAGTAAGAGGTATAAAGTGACTATATTTTCAAGCCAAAAATGGAATACATAGTCGGAGGCTTTTGACATTGCCCAAACTGTTTTGACTAAAACAGTTTGTGGGGATATAGGTCAGAATGTTTTAAACTGGTAAACTGTCAGTAAATATTTGTCAGGTCCACATGGACGACAAGGAGGTGAGTGGCGGCAGGATCCCGGATAGCGCCCTGTCAAGGAGGGGAGCCCCAGCTAACTTCACTGCTCTTCCACCACCAGCCTATGCGGACTTCTTCCTGCCGCTGCTGAGTCGCTGTCCCTCTGCCATGGGAATAAAGAATAAGGATGGGGAGACCCCTGGGCAAATTCTGGGCTGGGGACCGCCCTGGGATTCTGCTGAAGAGGAAGATGAGGCGTCCAGGGAGCATGAGTGGAGGCAGAAGCTGCAGGGAGAGCTGGAGGACGAGTGGCAGGAGCTCATTGGGCGGCTCGAAGGTGAGGAGTCCATTCCCACCACCGCTGCCCTTCCCTGCAGACCACTTTTCCTCCACCCCTCCCTCTGTGCCATCCCGCTTCTGTGGCCGTATGACCTTCTCATGACCTCTCCCCACCACCCCCATCCCACCCTCCCTAACAGATGATGCTTCCTATGAGGTCCAGGAACCCGAGTCCTACTCAGCCTGGTCACATCGCCTGGCTCGGGAACATGCCCAGAAGTGCCAGCAGCAGCGTGAGAGGAAGGGAGCCTGCCGACCCCCACGGGCTGAGAGCTCCAGTCTCAACTGGCAGCGGCAGGAGGAGGAGCAGCGGCTCTTCCGAGAGCGAGCCAGGGCCAAGGAGGAAGAACTGCGGGAGAGCCGAGCCAGGCGGGCACAGGAGATTCACGGGGACCCAGGGCCCAGGGCCCAGCAACCCAGAGGAGCAGGGAGGGGCAGCCTCTGGCGCTTTGGTGACGTGCCCTGGCCCTGTCCTGGGGGAGGGGATCCAGAGGCCATGGCTGCAGCCCTGGTGGCCAGGGGCCCCCCCTTGGAGGAACGGGGGGCTCTGAGGAGGTACTTGCGGGTCCAGCAGGTTCGCTGGCACCCTGACCGCTTCCTACAGCGGTTCCGGAGCCAGATTGAGACCTGGGAGCTGGGCCGCGTGATGGGAGCTGTGACTGCCCTTTCTCAGGCCCTGAATCGCCATGCAGAGGCCCTCAAGTGACCTCCGGGAAACAAGGAGAAACTGCAGAAACACAGCCTTAGGGGCAGGGCAGCAGGAAGAGCACAGTCAAAAATGGGGATGAACAGGCCAGGCCTACGCTGCACAGCAGAGGATGTGGGGTGGGAGCAAAGCTTGTCATGAGCGGGTGGGGAGGACAGGCCACCACCGCTGCTCCTTCACTGCCGTTTCCTAGTAAGACCTGGTTCCACATCTCTCTCCCGGCGGCTCTGCCTTTTTCCATTGCTGTGGTTTTCACCACCCATGACATCTCCTTTCCCGCCCACCTGCCAAAACCCACAGCTCCTACACACCTGTGACACACATGCACACACTAACACATGCCCTGTGCTGGAGACCCGAAGCCCCCTGCAGGCCCACTGCAGGGTTGGTCCTGAGAAGGCCCAGTTTGCCCTCCAGTCTCACTCCACTCCCTACACCGGGCTCCCCTCTGCCATCCGGCCAGAGAGATAAATGTGAACAGCAGCAAAAAAAAGGGAACAAAACCTGCTTCCTCCCCTCCCCTGTCCCCCAGGCCAGAACCACTTCCTCCTCCCCACCTGCACCCCCAGCACAGACAGGGCTTTCCCTTTGCTGAGTCACTGAACGGCCCACAGTGGGGGCAGCCAGAGCTGGGGACCATCAGGAGACTGTGAGAGGTCAGGGGATAGAAGGAGAATGGATGGAGGAAGAGCCCTGTGGGGGAGTGAAATTTGTTTGCTAAAATTAGGACAGGAAGTAGGCGGAAAGAGCCAAATTATGTAACTTGGGTTGTCTGTTCTTGGGCAACCGGGATCCACACACAAGGAAAGAGTGAAGTAAAATGGAGTCACTGTAGTCAGGCTGCTATGTTACTGAAGCCAAGTAGGTTGAGGCCTGAGGAAATGATTCTGTTCTCATTTTAACTAACCTGGGAACTTAAACTTCTGAGTTTTTTAGTCCTGCGTCAGGGCCTGGCATACATGAGACCTCCCTTAAGGACTCACCGTGCACAGTCACCTGACCTCCATTATCCAGACACGGGATGGGACCAGATTCCTTGGTGCACATCTTCCTGACTGCCTAATGTCTGATGACCGTCCTGGACCAGGCCTGGGGCTGACACTGCTGATCATTCTCAAGAATGCACTTTTTACTATAAGAACTCAACTTTTCTTTCTTTGGAAACACTTCTGGGTTTTTGCCTAGTTAGGTTTCCGGTTTGCAAACCTGTGAATAAATCTCTATCATGTATTTCTATCCAAAGCCTCCAAACACTTTTGGCTCGTTCGGCCGCCTCAATTTTTGGCTCCCTCCACATAGCTTCTGCCCCCATCCCAATCCTGGGTTTCATCGCTGGGCAGCCAGGCCTGGCCTTCCTGAGGGGTAGAGGGAGAACGCCTGGGATTCCCACCAGGACTGAGAAGAGGCCATCCTTTCCACTATCCATACTCAGTTGTCACTCCAGCACCCTGGACCGGGGTAGGAAGTAGTAGACAGTACCAGCCGCCAGGGCACAGCAGCGAAGTTGGTAAAAAAAAAGGGCAGGCCTGGAAGAACAGGCATGAGCTGGTGTGTGCCGTCTGCCCTTGTCTACATCAGAGAAGCTTTTGAATCAGAAACTCATTTTTCAGGTTGAGATCCCAGTCTACTCCGGAGAAGCCCAGGAGTAGAAGGCAGGGCATTGGAGGGTGGGAGGGGCCGCCTTGGGAATGTGGCATGAGATCCTCGGGAGACAGAACCAAGAGGCCCAAGGCCTCCCAGGCAGCAGCCAGATGCCCTGGGGCAGGAGGAGGGGCCGGTGAGAAAGCCTGTGAGAGGAAGCTGCTGTGATTCAGAGAAGAGACAGCCTTGAGCAGCCCAGGCGTCCGGTTCCTCTCACAGGCCAGAGGTTTCGGAAGTGGCATGCAAAGAGCTCAGGTTTGGGGTGGGGGGTTGGGGGGAGTTGGGGTTTGAATC